CAGCCCCAAACATTTTCTTTAGAAACTATCAGCCTTCTTCCAAAGAAAGTTTTGCATCAGCAAGGACAAGCACAGTGCCACATTAACGAACAGCACATCATAAAAGTACAATTTTGCTGTAACATCTCACCTAATCAGAACTTCCCCTAAATTGCCTGTCAAAGCACCATCTATAAACTCTTCTGTATTGGCAAGCTGTAAAAATAACACATCTTCACCATTACAGAGGATACAAACTACACCACAGTACATAGACATGCACAAGCACAAGCATTTGGTCAAAGCCCTTGAAAGTAAGTACAGTGTCCGTAAGTAAACTTGTACGTAAATTATCTAAACATGTAAACACCAAGAATTCATAAAAACTTAATCAAACACACCCATGTATCAAAAGAGGAAGCTCTAAAGAAATAGATTACATGTCTTACTAGCTAGCAGCTTACAAATTCCTCAAAATGGTTACTAGCTCATTATCACAAACATGTGCACGTCTGTAGAAGTTTGCATTCTTGACCTTATAAGAGAGTAAAATTAAGGCCCCCTGTCTACATCCAATCCAGGTACCATGTTTAGCTGTGTATAATGCGAGCCCATGTATAATGCACACCCTTGTTTATATCCTAATTTACCAGAAAAAAGTTTTTCAAGGCAAAAAAGACAAGTTAAATATCCGAACAACTATTTATTAAGACAACAAGAAGAAGAAATTTACTGTATCATTAACATCAATATCTTTTGCTACTTAGATATTTATGACATTATTGAAATCAAAGTTTAGAACTTCAAGCGAGGCCTAGCTAATTGACAATTCCATGGCCCAGTAAATAATATGAGTGAGCAAGAATATGATTTTGTGTCATAGCGTCGTATTTTTAGAATTTTCTAACTAACAATATGTAATTTCCTGGCCATAAAGTTAAGTAAACAACAATATAATCACAAATTCCACTGTGTGCACTTTATACACATAAGGAATTCACGCGTTTTTTGCTTCTAACAGCAAATCAAGAACTACTTTAAATAAAGCTTTTGTCCTGAAATATTTCTCGCTCGCTTTCTCCTTACTTCTCATTGAAAAATTCCATGTAACATGAGATCTCTTCACATGTGGCCAAATTTGCATATTCACTTCGAAATCTGATCCACATGCCTTTTTGCACACTTGCGATTTTAGAGTAAAAACTTAATATGCACCGATAACTTTTCATTGAAAATAAGTTATTTCATCAAAGCTTTAAATGTGTTACTTTTTTTGTTGTGTTTGTAACGTATAAAAATTAGGATGTGCGTGACAAACAATGGAATTCGCGTATCATACGCAATGCGATTTTGATGCTTATTTTTGTAGAAAAAAAGTGTGCATTATACATGGGTAAATACGGTAACATCAGATTTATAGGAGCAGTATAACATAACAGACAGAGAAAAATTATCGAAAATCCCCAAACAGTAACACAGTACATGTTTCACTACTTGGGTGTGTGTTTTACTAGGGACCATTAAAGGAAAGTAAAAAAAAAAAGTATAAAGTACAAAAGTACATGTATAAACATGTCACAATGTTATAAACATTATAGTAAAGTGTAAACATGTTGTTGTAGGGGACCACTGTGGATTTCATCAAAACAGCTGTAAACAAGGTTTTCCCTTGCTGTTTCATTTGAAACGCCCTTAACAAGACGTCACCGACCAACTGTCTCTGACAACAGGTCACACGGCTCCTCGTGCCTTAAACATCTTTCTCTGAACAATTTCACCTATGCAGAGTTCAGTATCTGTTTTGTTTTTATTTTTTATGCATACAAGAGCAAACTGAAATAGTTGGGCATATAACTGAAAGGCACAACTAAACTGCATCCATCAAAACTCTGTTAACTTTCTATTGCCCTTCCCTTTTCCTCCCTTATGACTATAGCCTACCCCCTTTTACAAAATTATTTAACCTATCGATGTCCAGTGATCCCGTAAGCACCCATGTGGAACCACACCCTTTCTACGCCTTGTGACGTCATCACTTTTAACCCTTGAGCACGACTTTGAGCACGTGCTTAAAAAGGTTGAAAATATCTTACAAACAATACCAGAATGAGCACAAAACACAGTTTTTCACAAAAGCTGTGGCTATTAATGGGTTAAGCTTATTTCTCCCCTAGTTAGCCATCCCCTGCTGTAAAAATCAAAGCTGACAGCTACAATATGATTTTCACCAAGAAAATACTAAGCATTTTCTGGCCAAAATCAAGCCTTCCTTAAATAAGTACCCCTCTGCTTCCCCCAACCAGTATCTTCTTGAAGGTCCATAAAAAAAACTCTAGCAAGTGAAAAATTGAAGATTTTGCAAAAGATAAACTTACCTGAACATTCATGTATCCATCCACAGACACAAGGTAACCCTTGTATTCCATACCCCATTTAAGTTTTACTATAACTGGCTTCCCAGTGAGCCCATTAAGAAAGGGCTTAGGGTTTAAGGGCATAGTCTGAGAAGGAAATGTAATAATATTAAGTCAGTTCTTTCGCCATGAATGCTTCAATCATGTGCTCAGATTTTCGGTTGAGAGTCACCATGGTAAAGACTGTTACAGGGGTTTCATTAATGTTTTCTGCCGGAGGGCAACTGGTTTTCACAGGCGGGCAAAACTCTTTGAACTGAACTTCTTTATAAGATAAACTCTCCTCCAGATGGTCGAATCAGGTGGGCAAAGCCGTCCTCACAATTTGCCAGGTGCCTGGCCCTTAATGAAACCCCTGCTGTTATCTGAAGCAGTGACTGAAACTGACAACCATGAGTGCCACTTGCCTCTAATGTTAACTTGCCCTGAGGTTGTCAAGACCTCAGCCACTAATTATAATGCCAACAACGATCCCTCCCAGGTTCTCTCTTACTGGGACGATCAGACCATAATATGATAAAATGTTACTCCTAGGTTCAAACCAATTATTGCATTACAATCAGTAATGTTCCAGCAGCATTTGAAACCAGATTTAAGTAGATTTAGCATTCTTCAAACCAAGTCATATCATCAAAGTGTTTAGAACAACGAATCTGATAAACTTCTTTGCTATTTTTTGTTTGTGTGTGTTCAATTCACTTTTCAGAATTCTTGAGGAATTGCTAATTATAAACTTAAGTTAAACCGAAAGCACTTCAATACAAGGCGCTGTTCGATTCGTGAAAGCAGTAATCTTTCAAGTTTAAATATACAGAATGAAATCAAGCTCGATCATCATTCAATCGATCTGCATGTATATTACGACAAACGTTTTATTTCGTCAAGCTGAATCACCTTGTGTTGCACTCTTTCAGAGAACCTTCTACTTACCCATCTACCACTGAAAAAAAGTAACCGTACCGTGGAACAATTTAACTAGGTGCGATCTTGCCGAGTAACGAAGTGGACTTTAGAAAATTAAAAATATATCTTAAATGATCTGTGTACTGGACGAAAGAACACGACGCTGCAACAGTATGCAATCTTAAATCCCTCTCAGAGTGTTATAGCTCAAAAATTCACAAAAAAATAACACGAATAGCTTACTCACCGCCATGATGGAAGATCTGAGACATCCTGGCCTTGTTAAAAACGACAAAATTACAGTAGTCAGAATGACCCTTGGAAAGCCACGCGCTCCTCTTTTTCACGCTGTCAATGTTGAGAAATGTCTTGGTCAGCGGTCAGGAAATAGAAAAGTGAAGGACTGTGGGTACTCGGGGATGGCGCCACTCCATTTTCTCGGAAAGGGTAATTATTTCACACTCGGTAAGTATTCATTTAATCTATTATTAATTATCATTATTCTCATTGACTTGTTTTCCGAGGATCTAAAGCTTATGATATGGCTCATTGAGGGGGCTTTGGGATTTTCGGTTTTGCGGTTTTGATTCTTTTTTGGATCGGTTTTTCGGTTTTTGGGCCAAAAAGGTTCGGTTGTCGGTTTTGATGTTTAGAGTGGTTTGCGGATTTTACGTGTTTTTGCATTCCGTTTTCGGTTTTCACGAAGACTCTGATGCGGCTTTCGGTTTTTCCTTATTGAAACCATCAAAGGTAAAAATGTAGCGGTTTTGTCAGGTTTGCATGCGGTTTTCTGGTTTGCTTCCTTTTTACGTCGGTTTTTCGGTTTTGGAGGTTTTTTTCTCCGGTTTTCCGGTTTCCAAGAGGCCCCAATGCCCCCCTCCTCATTATGATTGGCAGTTTCTAAGTTTTTGATTTGCCAGATCTTCTCTGGATATCAGTTTTCTACGGAAGCGCAAGTTATTTCACATCTTCCCAACTTTTCTCAACTTCAAACTTATCAAAGAAGAGTGTCAGAATTAATCTACACAATAAATGTTACGTCGCTATGTTTATCTGGTTGCCATCTTTTGATGTAAGATTTTCAAAGCAATCTCATTGTTCGATGCAGTCGTGCTGTTCGTATCGTATTTCAAGCAACTTCAGTACTCAATCAGTTAAAAGTAATTAACTTTTTGTCTCAGTGCTGCACCTAACTTCACAGTTCATCCACGACAACATTTAGAATGAAGATATATGGAAACCCGGAGTAGATATGTTCATGATAACACAACAAATATCTCTCTTATTTCTTATCCTAGTGTCATTCCACCCCGTTGAATTATCGTCACAACGACAGGGTTGCGTCAAGATTGGAAATTTCGAAACTTTCATTACAGGTAGGAGTAATGGCTTAAATCATGACTAAAGAAGGAGCACCAGATTGCGAATCGTGTTCTTTCAAGTTAAGGCGGAATTCGCGAGCACCCAGGTCAAACGAAACAGCACTATTTGATACTTTACGATGCTATAAGGTAGTTTTTCTCTGACTTGGGAGAGATTTCCGGAGAATGAATATCTTAATCTAAATTAGAACGGTAAAAAAATATTTGTAGGAAGAAAAACACGAAGAAAGAGTAGTAGAAGAGGAAGAGACAAGAACTCGTTGAAAAAAAATTGTTATTTCGGCTGGAGTTCAGTGAGACTCTTACAAAGGTTTGGAGAATCTTAAGAAAAAATTGAGATGTGGTCTATGTGTGGGCGTACCACTGACATGTGTTTAAACAAGGAATTATCCAGACTGAGAGCGAGGTGATTCACTCAATGTGTGACTGCCCTAACCTCTATTATTGTACCGTGAGTGTGATACCATATTAACAGCACAGCATGCTCATTTACACCAGTTTAAACTGAGAAATTCTGCAGCAAAAATCTGAGACTTAATTTTACATACGGTTTATGCAGTCACTGGCTTTCGTTTTAATTTTATCGTGCCAATTTTAAGTAAACAAACATCAGTTTAAGCCGTGTCAATCCGTGAAACAGTTGCGACTCGAAACGTGTACGTGTTTCGATGTAAATGAGGTACAAATCCGATTTATATTCCAGTGTATGTTCGCATCAAGATTTCAAGTTACAACAAGGCTGAATATCTTCTGGCAAAAATATGACACGGTTATGCTTTAATCAACGGCTGGCCCCGCCCCCCACGGTGCCAGTTTTTTCAAAACTGTTATTAATCAGTCACAGCACAACTGACAACAAACTATCTCATTAAATAAATTAACAGGCAGCTGTTTCAGCGCATTTGGAAAAGCTACCCGTGAAAATTGCTAGTTTGTGAGAAAAATCTTTTGCTGTTAGGTCAGTGTCAGAATGGTAGCAAACATTGTGAGTGCGAAAGGTATCATGGGTGCATGTTGAAGAATTGCCGTCAGAGTTGTAACACTTGTTTAGGCAGGTGTGCGTGTGAAAAATGAATGCGTCTTTGGAATGATTAATTAAAAAGTGGTCGAACAAGCAGTAAATGAACCGAAATGTTTAAATAGATCACGTAGCGTATCCCGAATTTGCAGAGCGTGTTTCGATGTGGCATTCAGCTTCGTCAACTGACTATACAAATGAAAAAAAAAAATGATTTATTTTTTAAAAAATTAAAGAAGAGAGGCATACATAATTAACAATGATGATTTCATACACAAATAAATAAAAAATGGTGGCATATTGATAGGAAAAAAACTAAACTTTTAAATTTTAGGTTGATGCAGTTACCATGCTGATTACATGTGGGCTTATCCTGGGCCGGTTGTTTTCCATGTATTTCTTGAGTGTAAGCCTAAACTTGAGTTTAGTTTTCCTTGAGCGCTAGCTGAAGCTCATTGCTTTAAATGTCACAAAAACTGATGGTGTTCAATTTTTGTGACGCTTTTTTTAAAAAATAGCTAGGGACTTTATACAAGCCATGGCGGTAACGGCCATGAGGATATCACAAAACAAAAGATCTACTGGGCAGAACAATAACTCAGCCTGTGCGTTTTAGAAGTGTGTACATTTCTTAGCTGTCCTCTGCAGAAACAAAAACAAAGACAAAAACAAAACAACAACAACGAATTTGCGTGCTCGGAGAACGAAACCCCGACGCCAAGTTATGCAAGTTTATATTTGGAGCTCAGCGCAGCTCACATATGTTATAATTTGAATATATCAACAAAGTTGAAATGGTAAATTGGCCACCGTTACGGTTATGAAAAGCTGACTTTTCGAGCGTTAGCCCTTCGTCTTAGCCTTAGTCTTTGTCTTAGCCCTTCGAGCGATAGCCATCCGCTCCGACGAAGGGCTAACGCTCGAAACGTCAGCTTTTCATAACCGTAACGGTGGCTAATTCACCATTTCAACTTTGTTGATATATTCAAATTATTTCGTTACCCCCACCGACCCAGCGCCAAACGTTTTCTTTAGAAACTATCAGCCTTTATTCACATATGTTATGCCGAGGTTGGACTGTTTAAGAGGAAGTAAAAAACATCCAGCATTCGCGAAATTCTAGGGAAAAATATAAGTTCCTTTTATAGCAGGCGTTAGCAGTTAAAAAAGAATGAAGTAATAAGGTCATATACTGGACCCAACTGAAGATTTTTTCCTTCGATCTTGCTGATTATAGCGGTATGCTGAAGGCGCGTCAAATGCAAACCCCCATACAGTCATAACTCACCTTAGAGAGGGTTCTCATCGGAGAGATGGCTTTTACAGCCAGCGGTCAAAATTTTGGCAATTTAACGGCTAATGTCATTCGATTGATGTCACCAGAAATATAACTCATGGTTTACTTTTTTTAAGATTATCGGTTAAAATTTGTCACTAGACTTTTACGCCTAAAGGCTAAATTTTTGGCTAACGGTTGAGACCCTCTTAGAGCCGCTAGCTGTGGCTGCAAAATAAAGTGTCTGAAAGAGGAATCCAAAGGTCTGAAATTCAATTCCTCTCTGGGATCTTTAAACTACTTTTCTTTTTCCTACGCTCATGACAAGACAAAACGACACCTTTCCCTGTTTGAGCTCAAACTATACCACTAGTTCTGCTTTTTACGCTTCCGACGCTGCTGATCCTTGTGGGACGCAGGACGCAAGTCACAAATAAACCTCGAAATGGCCAAGGTTACACAAGTTTACCATCAACTCTTTCGCTGCCATAAGTGACCGAGACAGAATTTCTCCTTACTACTTCAATACCATATCAAGCAGACAAGTGTTGAGAATAAAGCAAAATATAAATTAGGCGATCATCGGTTGATCCAATACCAAGTTCTCTAAATTAACATAATAAGAATTGTGTGGAAGAAAGCGAGGAGACATGTTGCCAATGAGATCCAGAGAGTAAAAGGGTAAAGTGACTCTAGCTGTGGCTCACGGGTTGAGCATCATTGCCGAACTCGCAGTTTATCATCTTCTTTATTCCATGTAGGTTCCGTTCTTGTTGGTCACGTGATTTCCAGTTCCCAGGTCACCTCTCGCGTTGACTGTGCGTTCGAGTGTCTGAAGAATGAACTGTGCATCTCGTACAACTACCAAGAGGGAAATCAAGCTCTTCATGGATGTGAATTAAACAACCAAGATGAGGGAAATAAACCAGCCAATTTTACAAACAAGGCGGGATTTTCTTATTATGAGAAAAGAGTAAGTAATCTAATGATTTCAATTCATATTTTTTTTTTCCAAAGACGCTCGAAACTGAAAATGTTTACATTTCACCGTCTCTTGGCAACGCCTGACCAATCTGAGAAATCATAAATGAACACAGTCGAACCTGTATTACGCGGCACCGTATTTAACGGTGCCGCGTATTACTGTTATTTCACCTCTATTAAGTGGTAAAGCGCGGTCCCTTACCAAGGCCACGGCCTGTTTTTCATTGTTTTCCAACTGCATTGAACGGTCATTCAAATAGAACTGAGAATAACTTTCCAAGAAAAATTTAATTTTGTTTGTCTCCAAAAATAAAATCTAGTCGTATTTTTGGGTTTTATTTTTGTAAATTAAGTAGTTAGTTATGGAAGAAATGCGTTTTTTATCATTCCCTGTAATAAACTTATTCTGTGTAACCTGTATAAGGCGGTCAACCTGCGGACACCCCGACATTCCCCGTGGGTGAACGCTTATACAGACTCCACATTTAGAGCTTCGTTGGTGTCCTTGAGAAGGACACCAATATAGTGTTCATAAAGTTTTTAAAATCAGGTGGTGATTGGTTTCGCTACTGTATCGGCTCTATAAGTCATCGTCTACATGAAAGTAACAGTTCTATGCGTGCAGGAAATGTTTCGAATTAAAAATGCGAACTCAAAAGTAAAGTAGTCTTTCACTTACGACGCATTCTGTCACACTTATTGAATTTTGTATATGCTACAGAAAAAGTTTAGAAATATAAGAAAACACGTTTTACAAAATCGATCTATTGTGTGGTACTTTTTAAAATAAAGCTTAAAACTCAGAGGGTTTGGTTTGAGATCAAGAATAATTAAAGAACTACAAGGTGGATAACTCTCAGTAGAAATTTTAAAAATCTACAAATTTGATCAAATAACTCCACAATCTTCTTTTCATTTGTTGGATTGGACACATTAAATTGCAGGGTTCCATTGCATGCCGGTCGTCACCTTGTTTGAATGATGGGACGTGCGTGGACTCCTGTCCGGAAGAAACTGGGTACCGATGTGTCTGTATTGACGGAAGAATAGGAGAAAATTGCCAAAGTTGGAGCAGTAAGTAAATGAGGAAAGCCAGGGTGGGGAGGGAAAGGAGGGGTGACGCTGCCCATAAATACTAACAGGGGAAGGATGAACGCTGTATATCATGAACAACTTATGCAAATCACTTCTCAATTGATCACCAATTAGTGCGAACTAGTTTATAAGGCGCTGCATAGAGAATCCCCCATTCCCCCATGTATATTGAGAGTTCTTTACGAATTACTCACTTTACGGTAGAGAGACCAGAAATGGGAAATATAATTTAATCTGTCCCAAGTCTCGTGATATTACTGAAGCTGGAAGGTCTTTTCAAGTTAGTAGCGTCAAGTTATGGAACAATTTGCCAAATGAGCTTAAGAAAAAACGCAGCACTTCCTCTTTCAGAAATGATTTAAGAAATTATTTTATTGATTCTTATAGACATTGATTCTTTTGAAGCTATATTGTAATATATTTTTTATTCTGGCATGGCTTAGACGATACCACAAAGGTTGGGTCGTTTGGGGTGACCGTCTCGGTTCTCCCCCATCCTAGCATTAGCACTGCACTGATGAGGCCCAGAAGGCCGAAACAGTACTGTCTGCAGTTAGTTATATATATATATATATATATATATATATATATATATATATATTTGTTTTTACGGCTAAGGCTAACACGTCAGATGACTCCATTTATATTTGTTTTTAATAGTTACTTTGTGAGGCTAGTTCCAATTTTAATTCTAGTCTTGCATGTATTACTTACTAATCCTTAGTTTTGAGGGCCACTGGTTTGTCAGCGTAAGCTGTTATGTGTACACCCTCTTTAGATAAAGTCGACCTAGAATGTCTCAATGGGGTGGCTTTTACGGTTATCATTTTTGGCCATTTTACGGCTAAAGCTAACACGTCAGATGACTCCATTGTTGTCGCCGGAATTTTATCCTATCTTTTCTATCCTGGGCCCACTTCTGGACTCTGCCCCCCCTGCGTCTCATGTATGGTCTTCATCTCCTCCTCAACCGTAGTGACGTAGTGGTGAGAGCGCTCGCCTTCCACCAATGTGTCCTGGGTTCGATTCCCGGAACCGGCGTCATAAGTGGATTGAGTTTGTAGGTTCTCTACTCTGCTCTGAGAGGTTTTTCTCCCGGTACTCCGGTTTTCCCCTCTCTTCAAAAAACCATGATCATTTGAATTTATTTAATTTAGAGTTTATTTGGATTTACACACGACCCCACAAGCTGTTGAGCTTTAAACATCATCGTGTCTAAATAAAGGTGTTATTATTATTGTTATTATTATTATTATTATTATTATTATTATTGTTATTAACCGTCCTCCGTTAAGGTTTTTTTAAGGTCGGCCTTTCTTTCTCTTTCCCCTGGTGTCATGTAGATGGCCACTTTTTCAACTCTTTATGTGATATATAAGAATACTAAAGTTCAGACCAGTGGGTGGAAAAATGCAGCACTCAACGTTTATAGCTACTCTTTTTCCGCCCCATTTTTAGATACTTGCTCAACCATAGTAAAGAGTCATCCTTGGGAGCATTCAACAATATATTTTAGTGCGCATCAGTGTCAGTTTTACAACTGAAAGTCTGAAGAATTGGTCTCTACTTTATGATTAATCACTTTTTTGTAAACTGTCCTAGAAACCGCCGAAGATTACGAAGTTCTCTTCTCCCAAGAAAGCACCGCAGATTACTTTGAAATTGAAATTACTGAGAGTTTGCAACAGTTTTCTTTGTGTTTTTGGATAAGTGTAATTCAATCTTCCGGCTGGAATACCATCTTTTCTCACTTGAGTCCAGATGGAAAGAGCGATCTGAAACTGAGATGTGAGGGAGCCATGGATAGGTGTAACTTAACATTGATCAATAACAACAACAAGTAGGTTTCTTTAGTGTTTTTGTTTGTTTGTTTTATGGTGCTGATGATAAGCAACAGGGAGTAATAACAATCTAAACTAGATAGTCAGCAAAGAGCTGAGGTAGCTGTAAGTAATAAGCGGTAAACAATCCGTTGCTTGTTTAATCAGTTGGCAGTAAACAGCTTGCTGCCAGCCTTCGGCAGTCAGCTTTAAGCAACGACAAGTAGTCAGTAGCCAGTACTCAGTTGTAAAGGGAAGCTATCTATGAGAATCACCAATAAGCTGACAGCTGTCAGCAATCAGCATCCTGCGGTCTGTAGTCAATAACTCACAGACAGCATTACACTGCAATAGTCTGCCGTCAGCTGTAGTCTGCAAAAGGCACGAACCAGAAATGTTAATTAAAGTGTTTCCAAATGTGAATAAATGAGAAAAAAACCCGAGTAACATTTTTCTACTTCGAGGCTTTTCTTCGTGCTTCCCATCAGTGACGGGCTATGGCACCATATTTGTGTGAGCTGGGAGAACAGTGATGGTCGCTGGGATTTTCTCGTCGATGGAATTCTTATCTCAAACGGAAGCGCTTGGGGCAAGTCCCAAAGCATTGACCCTGGGAAACTAGTTGTCGGCCAGCATCAAGAGTCTAGTGGAGATTTCCTTTTAGAAGAATCATTTATGGGAAAAATTACATCCTTTAACATGTGGGATACAAAAATGAGTAACGGTGACCTGAAGAAAAAGTCGTGGTCATACAACAAAGAATTAGGGAATGTTATAGACTGGAGAACGTTTCGACATGGTATTCATGGGAATGCGACAATAATCTCACCTCGAACCTCTTTATCGCATGGTTAGTCAATACTTTCTACGAAAAAAGATGAGATAATTTTATTTATTGACGGAAACGTGAGGGTTTGTCTCTTAGTCTCATGAGCCAAGTGCTCATGATCGAAAACACTCGAAAAAGTATAGCAGTCCTTTGATATGTAAAAGGTATTTCGCAGTTTTGATATTTTGTCTCAATTCCAGCACGTTTTGTATCGCATAGAGCTTTACCAGAGAATCTCTAGTATGTTGTACTCCCTTGATGTGCCTGATTTGTTTTTAAAGCCTGCTAAAAGATGTTACGACAATTAAAGAGTACTATTGATTTACAAAATCATGTTGGTTTAACTAGTTCCGTTAATTTCATTTCAGTTAATGAAAGCGACTTCGTCTTGGAATTCCCTGAACGAGACACTGGCAACTTTATAGAGGCCGGCACACTACCGTCTGTAACAAAGTTTACTGTTTCCTGGTGGATGAAACGAAGCTATGACGGTGGATTTCCTCAAGCAATTTTTTCTTACTCAACTGTGGATATTTTACATGCACTCTTCCTATATTATGGTCCAAATCACGGTGCATTGAATTTGCGTATTATGAATGAAGGGTAAGTAGTTAGAACGTAGTTGAAGTTTTATCATATCAATACTGAGATTTAGACATTGAAGAGGAGCGAAAAGAATTTCCATTCACAAGCTGGTCGAAGAAGCCGAGAACCAATCAAATAGCACGTAACGCATTTTTCGCGTGTGGGGAAAACGACACGTCCAATCAGGAGTCACGTATCACGTTTTATCACTTGTGAACTGTATCAGGGCGACCACATCCAACCTTTGCTTGCCGCATCTCGCATTTCAAACCGTTCGGAAAATCATGATTTAAAATTCGTTCTCAGAGTTGTTTATCAAGTCCAACCAAACTACCTGCAGAGGATGAGTAAGAAAACATTTGCTACTTATCAAAATTTTGAGGTCAGTAATACTGAAAGCACGGAGAAAAAAAAAGAACACAAAAGAGAAAACAAAGCGAGATTCTTAATTATTAAAAGAATTTTTGAGAAACGCAAAGAACGACGAACAAGAGGTACTCACCATTGTCCCCAAGGAATTAAACATGTATTTGCAAGGTTCATTTGCTCTGTTCGACGTAAAGACGAGGAAGATATTCAGATATGAACCCTTAAGCTTAAGATGCTTTGTTGTGAAGTATGGAGAAGCATTTTGATCTTTTTTGCTCACTGTTAGTAATGTCCGGCTTGTATTATTTAAATCAAAGAGGCAATTTGTGTTTCACGTCTTTCATCATCGATTTATGAGCTTTGACTCAAATCTGTTTAACAATAAATTGTCACTCGTTCGCTTTGCACACTCGTTCGATTTTCAATACTACCAAATCGTACGTAAATGCGGACAGGCCTTCCACGAAGTATTCTGTGTTAACATTACTTAGATTAATGAAAGTTAATCAGGCGTTCCGGTTCATTTATCTAAGTCCTTGCCCGTCTGTCTAAGTGTTAAGGTAATTTTGGTCTCGTCTACTGGTTGTTAATGTAAATTTCCATCGTAAACAGTTTCAAAGCTGACGTTTCGAGCGCTAGCCTGTCGGAGTGTCTTGTCTCGTCTTTCTCTTTGTTTGTCTTCTCAAGACGACCAATTGCGAATGAAACTCTAAAGCATGATGCCGTTTTGCAGTAAATATATATACATACATACATATGTATATATATTTAGTTATTTGTATACATATTTTTATGTATATATATTTAGTTATATATATATTTAGTATAACTTCAGAGCTGAGCAAAGAGTTTCCAGAAATCTGATTGGCCGAGCGGTTCCTTATATGACCCTATATAAACCGCTCCACGCGGTTTATATAAAATGTTAAAGTAAAATGTCAATAAATGTTACTAAAATGTTACGATTTTAGAAATTTCTCCGTTGTTCAGCTCTGAAATTATACTAAAACTCGCCTCAGGTTCGGGGAATATTGTCGAAAAATACCCTCGACTTCGTCTCGGGAATTATTCGACGATATTCACCTCGCCTTCGGCGAATAATTGTTAAATATATATATAACTACCTGCAGACAGTACTGTTTCGGCCTTCTGGATCATTGGATAGTACAATTCATTGGATAACGCAATTCAAGGCTTTTTATTGTCTTAGCCATATGAGCCAATATACCATAATCTAATCTCTGTACACTGTAACATCCGGTTTCTTTTTACAAAATAAAGTCGAGAAGATTTTTCTAATATCTTAGAGGCGATTTTTTTAATAAAATAGTTATTCCACTCGCGCTTGTCGGATATGAGATGATTATAGCCAATTCGGCGCTACGCGCCTCGTTGGCTATCTATGATCTTATATCCAACGCGCGCTCGTGGAATAATTGTTAATTATTTTGATTGGAAAGTTTTTGTTTTAAGTGAGTCAGTTTACCTCAAGAGCCCACTAACAGTCGATGATCTTTGGCATCATGTATGCGTCACGTGGACAAGTGTGGATGGAAAAATACGCCTTTTCTTCGATGGTGTCTTAAATAGCGCCCCAATGGAACACAATGGCGTTGTCATCGCTGGCGGAGGAAATTTGACCATCGGGCAGCGATCAACGTCGATAGGAAGAAACTATTCCCCTGAGCATAGCTTCCGTGGGAAGCTGGCAAAATTTAACTTGTGGAGTAGAGTGCTCAATGAGAACGTGATTGTTGCATTATTTAGAAATCCAGCTGCAGAGATTGGGGACCTCATCTCTTGGAGAAACATACGAACTGCATCGATTTTTGGCAACGTAGCAGTTAAAAACGTATCCACCATTCCGTTTACAGGTAAAATCATCTAAATGTTCTCAATGATCATCTTAATTTTCCTTTTTCCATTAATTTATAAACATGTATTTATGCACGATCCTCGTTGTAAAGAACACTATTTAAGCAATATTGAAAATCAGACCTGAAGAAATTTAGGCCTGTACGGGATTCGAACCACTGACCTCTGCGATACTAGTGCAGCGCTCTACCAATTGAGATAACAAGCCAACTGGGAAACTTGGAGCAGGTCATCAAATTAATTCAATATAAACCCGTAAATCAAACACAACGAATATTTGAAATTTATATATCTGAACTGCGGTTATAGAAAAGTATTTGTGCATGATCCTCGCAGTAAAGAGCACTATTAAAGCAATAGTGAAAATCAGACCTGAAAAAATTCAGGCCTGTACGGGATTCGAACCACTGACCTCTGCGATACTAGTGCAGCGCTCTACCAATTGAGCTAACAAGCCAACTGGGAGCAGGCCATCAAATTAATTCGATNATAGCAAAAAATGAGGGGGAAACATCACTTCTGCAACCTCTAGAGTGCAGTAGACCAAAATTAAACCATGGCGGTAAGAATAAAACAATGAGAGAGCCCGAAGTGTACGTATTCGTAAGTGATCAAGTCACAACTTGCTTTATAGCATAACCAAAGTAAAGCATGCTCTCTGATACGCTGCTGACGTGAGCAAATGCTGAGACTAGTTTCCGCGCGCATGTTTATTCTGGTCACGTAAGGTTTAAGTGTTAAATAAAAGGGAACTCTTTTACTAAAATGTATCAATGTTATGTCATAAAACAAATAGCAAACTCCGCAGTGTACACTATTTAGTAATGGATGCACTTGGGAGGTTTGCTAAGCACTCAAGAGGCTAGAGTCGCTCTCGGATATTGCCTCGAGCGACTCTTATGCTTCTTTCGTGCTTAGCAACCTCCCGCGTGCATCCATAGCTCAATAGTATTCCCTGTGGTGTTTACCATTTGTCAAATAGAACTGCAACTGATTGGTTTAACAGTCCGTCATAGTTTCCACTCAAAAGGCGAAGTGAATCGACCCAATGTGTTCTCAGATTTCTCTTGACCCACTCTCTGCGCAACATCTTTCCAGTTACGTGCATTTCTTTTTCAGACGCGGTAGTACAAGAAAAAAGGGATCAATATTGTAACGACAGATATCATGCACATAAACCATCATGTGGTACGACGGTCAAAGCCTTGTTTGGCAGAAAACATTCTCAAGTTGGGAAACTATGGCGCTGTTATTTTGTCGTGGCGCTCACACGAGACCCAGATTCAAAGATGTACCGTTATGATACGGTGAAATTGTCGCATTGCATGCACTCTGTGACTGCAGACATATTGGCCATAACTGAGTAGCTATTATTGACAAGATAATTTGAATATATCAACAAAGTTGAAATGGTAAATTGGCCACCGTTACGGTTATAAAAGCTGACGTTTCGAACGTTAGCCCTTCGTCCTTAGCACTTCGTCATTCGCTCCGACGAAGGGCTAACGCTCGAAACGTCAGCTTTTATAACCATAAAGGTGGCCAATGTACCATTTCAACTTTGTTGATATATTCAAATTATTTCGTTACCTCCACCGACGCAGCGCCAAACAGTTTCTTTAGAAACTATCAGCCTATTATTGACAAGTATTCCCCAAACATTCTGTCACTTTTTCAAAATCTCGATACTTTGGTACGCTTGTGGATATGGTACTACCCCGGTATTTTTAGTGTGTAGAAAGTATATTGTCAATGTTTTCCTATTACCAAAAAGTCCGATAGAAAGCGAATTTCTTTGGTTTGATCAGGATCTCGTTTAACTGCCCCGCTGAACTCGAGAGACAACAGCTTTATGGGCTAGCAAGAGAATAGATACCATCATCACATTGTAATTAAGTAATGACTCATCACACATAAGCTCAGCATGGTTTTGTCAAGTTTAAATGGAGGTTTAATTCCCGGGAAGAGAGAGCTGAGACAAGCGAAGGGGTAGAGATTCCTAGGATGCAGTCGAAAAGAAAAACCATTTATGAGGTTTCATTATTTCAGTTACGAATATAGACTGAGTTGACGGCATTTAGAATGAGTAAGGTATAGCTAATTCCTAGAACTGGAGAGATTAATAATTTTAGTGGTAGAACACAGAGTTATGGCATCAGCTACACGCTATTTGTAGTTATACAAGTAAAAATTTTAAGTCACTAACTCAGGATAATTTCACAAATTTCAGCACAACGAATCGGTCAAAGAATCAAATAACTTGACATAATCAGAGGAAAAGCAGAGCTTCCCAATAAATTAATCACTGCCCTACAAGCGATGAAAATAATGTGAGGACGTTTTTTCCACCAGCCCATTTTATGTGTAGAGGGATGTGTTTATTTTTGTCTTTTCACGTGCGTGGGAGGAAAAAATAACTAAGAGTCCCAATGAGAAATCGAGTTACAGGTCTTACGATTTCACACACCAACACTTTACCACTGACTGCGTAACAAATACAGGAAAGCGAGCTACGCTTTTCTAGAAGGCATCAACGGGGTTAACTGTTAGCCGTAAAACGGGAAAAAATTTAAATATTGTGCCTAAAAAAATGGCAAATTTTAACCTTTAGTCGCACGAGATTTGCTTGCACCAACAAATTAAGCAACAGTCATTTTGGAAATTTAATGAGCCCCCAAATAACCGAGATGCATCTCAACTCTTAGTTTCACTGATTAAACATTGAGTTCTCTTATAAAAGTAAGATAAATTTTGAAAAAAATTGGAACACAGAAATCTTACACAAAGACCATCGTACCGACTTTCAAGGACAGGTTCTTATTAAAAGCGAATGTCTCTCTTTTATCATAGTAACATGTAAAAATACTAAAAATTAAAGTTGTGAGATGAAAGGGTTTATTTCTTCATTTGGTTTAAATTTAGATATGTTACCCTAAATGGCCTTTTCTGTATAACTTTAGGTGTAAAACCACTCACACTAATGGATGCTTTACAAGCAATGATATCATACAAGGTACATGTTATGGCTACAATAACGTGGCCCTCCCTTAAGAAAGGAAAGTTACTCTAGCTTAATTCTGTAGATAACACTGGAGATCTGTAGCCACCTGTTTGCCGATGTTACTTTTTCCTCTTTCGAGTCTCCGTTGTAACATTGGCTACTTTTTGAAATACTTCACGGGGAAGGTAAAAAGAAAAATGCTTACATTTGATGAATACGCCTCCTAAGATTAAATTACAACTTTGAAGATCTCAGACCAGACCTTTGGTTTATGAACTTTCGCATTTGCTTATAAATGGAGGCGAAGATCTCTATCACCAATGATATATGCGTCATTGATGAAAAGTGAGATGAAGATGGCTGGAGATTGGTTGCGTTTTTTTTTTTGTGAGTGTTTTTTAGGGCGAGACAACGTCGAGTTCCACAAAAACGCAAAAAGAAAAAAAAACAAAGTTAAAAAAAAAAATTAATCGAGACGGCTGCATATCCATTTTGAACGTGCAAGTTTGACCAAAGAAAAATTTATTAGTGTCAATTTTTTCGGTTCTTTACAAAATTCTTGAACAGAGAACTGTGCTTGGCGCGACTTTAAGAAAAACTGACTGAAAAAAAGGGATTATGTTAAAAAGAAATTGCGTTTAAATACAAGAGGACTGCGTGTCATT